GATGTTGCTGCTGAAATTCCAGTGATAAAATGCTGCTTACTGGAAAGACCATTACTTTGAATCCAGAGTGTTGATAACCATATGCCGGAATTCCAGGATGTTTAGGCTTGCTATCTACATGGGTGCCTATCTAATTTATAATGAGTCCTATGCAGTAGACGACATAAAACAAGTATTTATCTGACTGTAATGACAAGCCCAAAGCACATCACATAATCAGAATTTTATCTAATACTGGAAATACTGTTAAGAATTTTATAAATGAGGGCTGGGGGTTTAGTTCAGTGGCACAAGCACCTACCAGCAAGTGCCAGGTCATAAGTTCAATACCTAGTACCCAAGAGGAAAAAAAAAGAATTTAAAAATTTCTGAACCCAATAACGTTCATATTATAAAAGTTGCCAAGGCTGTAGATTTAAATAAAATCTATAATATCTATAAAGTAATAAGGTTATATAATGATGTGAAAATTTTATAAATATGATAATTTTATGCTATATAGTATCTGATTATTGTAGAATTAATTTGATCAATCACAAAATAACCCAGTGGTACAGCTCCTTTACTAGTGGAATCGAAATGCCAATTGCGATAATTCTGTGGGTGATTGTAGTAAACCATTTTTATTCAGTATTAGCTTTTTTCCCTCAGGTTTGGCACACAAAAGTAGTAGAAATAGAAATGAACACAGCCAGAGTCTGACTGTAAGCTAAGTTCAGGAGTGAGCACACTGACTCTGAGTTGTAGAAAATGGTTAAGCTGGTTTTTAATGCAATTTAGGCTTAAATTTTAAATTTTTGCACATCCACTGTAAGTAGAAATAGTTCATGTATCATAAAAGACAAATTATTTAAAAGTTTGTTCTTTTTAAACACTAAATATAAGAATGTTTACCTGGCACATGGCAATGATTTACCATAAATATATATGTAAGAGCTCTTTTGTCTGCTGTAGAATTATTGTGATTTTCCAAATTTAATTACTAATGTGCACTGCTTATGAAATTAGGTAGGCTGCTACTCCAGCCTGAGGCTGTGCCCCATTTCAAGTGGTCTAATCTATTATTTAATAACTAAAATTATATAAGAGCAGCCTGGAAAAGTGCATCTCATGTTGCTCTTAGGTGTTTGACCAAATGTGTAGTTGGCAACCCGCTTGCAGAGTGACTGTGTGTGTGTTTATGCAGAGTGGGCTGTGGACCTCAAGAGGAACATTTCTTGAAAAATTGAAAAGATAGATTTTTTTTTCTTGTACATGATCTGAAAGACATGAAGATATTAGTTTCAGGGGGAGGATTCAAGATTCTATCCAACATATTATACAGTATGTTATTTTTCTCCAAAACGTCATTCACTTCCTTTGTGTGCAGTATTTACTGCATTCTAATTACATAATGTCCTGTCATGTTACGATAAGTCCTGGTGTGTTATGATAGGATCAAGAAAAATAATTTCAGTAGTTTAAAGACAGCGATTTGAATTTAGAAGTTCTAGTGCTTTTAGGCAGTTATTTTAACTTATCCAGACTAAGCAGGGAGAATGTGGAGACCTGTAGTATTTTTTTTTGTAATGGATTCAGCAACTGCACATGAATACAAATATTGGTGCATTGATTATACCAGTTGAGAAATAAATCACTGAAGTTTTTTTTCTAACACTTCCTTTATATGATAATTTAAATGTGTAAAAGTCTCTCTAAAATATATTTAGATGTGCAAGATTTTCAGTATGAGAAGACATGGAAGAAATTCAGAGTACTGTAATTTTCATCTTAGGGAACTACATTATGCTTGACAGCACCAAGACATAAAAATGAAAATTATAGCCATCTGTAAATATAATTTGTAATTATTTATTGTTCAAAAAAATGGGAAGGTGCGAAGATTATTAAAACCCAAAGCCAGCAGTAAGGCTGGTGGCATTTTACTGTGCATCCATCCATTCCTTTCTCCCCTCACCTCTCCGTCCTCCCAAGATAAGCAGGGTTTTCCTCTTTTCCTTTCTTCTCTAACACATACCTTTTCAATGCATAATCATTTTAGAAGACTCTGTGATCATTCTCCTGTTCTTGAACGTTTAATGCTTTCAAATTTAGGTATTAAATGCTATTTTTAAAAATATTGATGAGTTCTTCCTTCTCTTCCAATAAATATTTCCTGGGTAAGTGAAATATTCGCTTGCATCTCCATATTCCTAGCCTTAGCTCATGTGTGTAGTTTCTGTCACCTAATCATACCATATTTCATATATTTAAAATTTGCTACAAGTAAATGCATTTGTCATTTTGAGCAAAGATGTCTAAAGTAATGTATCTTGTAGAAATGGGCTACTGTGTTTCAGAACTGAAGGTGGCTTTGTGGATCCTGTAGTTGTGGATTGTAATCTAAGTGAGGGAAGCACGTTAGACTCACCCTGCAGCTTATCCCCACATGTCTCCCATGGGGCCACATCTGCAGATCTGCAGTCACGGGTTTCACAGGTCAGGAGCCTGGAGCCCATGGAACAGTAATGTCTTAAAGTCAGATTTCCTGTGTTTGCCATTCCACTCTGCCTTTCCACAGGATTTCCTGTTAGGCATTTCCTAATCAACATTATATAGCAAAAAAGGCCTTTGGATCACATGAGTCTGAACGCATTAGCTACACACTTCTTTAAGTGCAGAATCGCTTACAGCCTTGAACACAGCAATGTGCTTTGTTAATGTTTTAACAGCGTTTATCAGGTGCACCGTTACCCTGCTTAATTCAGGATGGAGCTAAGCCCAGGGTATCTGGAGAGCCCACTGTCTGTTCCCTCATCCTTTGACCAGGTCATTCACCATTTTACTATTTGCCCTTCTCTATAATAATAAAGCCGTATTGTTGCACATGGAATTTCACTAAATTTAGGCATCCAGCATTATGCTTCTTACTAATCAATCCTATTTTTTATGTTTTCCTAAATAATCCCATACGTCTCCTTTCCACTATTGTAATCACAAAGTCCTGAGCATCCAGTTTTTACACAGAGCCACGCAGAAGGCTTGTTAACAATAAGCAACGCTGGGCTCATTTGCCTCTCCCTAATGGGCTCGAGCTGCAGCCTGATAAACTGCGGTGAACGCTAGGCTGCTTTTCCAGTGACTGCACTCTGAGAAGCAACTGCTTTAAAATTTGCCATGACTTCCTACTAATTCAGAGTGCTTGGTGCTGAGATGGATAATCATTTGTTCAGCAGTTGGGATTTTCTTTATATTCCTGTAACTGGTACGGGTAGTTTGTTTTAATGGAGTCTTTCCTTACTCAAGTCAGGGGAGCCCAGGGATAGAGAAAAGTGTGGATTTTAAAATGCATTAAAATTCATGGCCCAGTCCAAAGTAAAACCCTCTGGCATCACTTTCAAACTTTCATTCATTAAGCACTATAGCCTAGCACGTGAGTTAGAGGGAGCATTTCTTGCTCTGCATTTCTCTTGTTGATCATCTCTCTTTCCTTTCTCCTCCCTCTTCCTTTGTGCTGGTTACACCTGGCTTTGGTTTTAGAAAACAGTGTTTGATTAGCGAATTTTGCATTCGAGTATTTTACCAAATTTTAGTCTTTCAGCATGACTCTTGATACTTTGCAATTTTAGTTTGTCAAGGAGTGAACAATTATATTTGTGGCTTTCACATTATGTTTCCAGACATTTCCAAAGGCAAATTTTATAACCCAGTCCAATAGCTCTGTGTGCGCGCTCACACACATACAGTGATTCCTGACCAAACCTCGAGCTTCGCACATTGTTCTTGCCTTTATATGGAACGTATCCTCTTCTTTTCTTTAATTAATGTCTCATTAAAAAGATAATTTGTTCATGACCTAGTAAATTGATTTCCTTATCTAGTAACAGGTGGTCCCTGGAGTTTTGGAAGGTAGGAGTGTTCATACTGCTGTGCCAATGATCTCTAATGTTTCAGTTTTTCCACAGGAAAAATATGTGTGTATTCTCAAATACTGAAGCTGCTAATGTCTTATCTGCCAATTTAAATGGTCAGTACTTATGGCAGCCGGGCACCGGGGCGTGTTTGCAGATCCCCCGGCGTCCTGTGCTTGCTGTGTTCAGCGGCACTGCGAGAGCATCTTGAACTCACTGCTTCCCTCTCTGGTTTCCTGTGCCTCTCTGCAGTGTGCTTCAGAATATGATTTTATGTTGTACCACAGTCAGATGTTGTGAGATTTTCGGTTTTGTTCTGAGGAGATTGGTTTTGGAATACACAAAATTGTCTCCATAGTGAAGTAACTGAAAATACAGATCTGATTTTAGTTTTTAAAAATTTCAGTTAAGTAAAAACTACATTTTGACTGAATTTCCACTAAGTATCAAAAGCAGTTACTGTAGATGAGAAATTAATTTTTGGCCTTAAAACCCCATAGGATTTTCTTGGATCACTATTGATTAGATTTTTTTTTTCTCTCTTCATGAAAAAGATTGGTAAATGTTAGGATTTAATTGTATTAGAGTTGCAAGAAGTCTCTTTTTTCTTAGTGTCACTTCTTTTTAAAACAGATATTGGTATACACGGTAAGCATAAAGTACAATGACAACCTTTTAGTCCTACGTGACATCACGTGTACTGTTAGTTGTCAAACTATCCTTAACATCTCAGGGTAAATTTAATAATGTAACCCGTGAAATTTGTTGCAGGAAAATACTTTATTTCTGTTGTATTTAAAGGTGCTTAGCCTCTTCTTTAAATATGTACCTTAATGTATGTTATTGGAAAAGCTCTAGGGGATTTCCAAGTCATCCCAACATTAAAGAAATAAGGAGAGAAGTTTTTCATGTGAGTAATCTGACAATGCAATGTGAATGCTGATACCGCAGTGAAAATCAGTTACTGCCCTCTTGGTGCTCTAGTTAAAAGTATTCTTGTAGATGTATTCTTTTGAGGCGTATACACAGAGAAAATGGAGAAATGAATGTGACAACATCTCAGTTAGTGCACACTGTAAAATTGTGCATTTCCTATCTTTTCTCTTGCAGCCTGAAAAGAATGACAGTGAACCAGGCAGCCAGAGGATTAAACCTGTTTTCATTGAGGATGCTAATTTTGGAAGACAAATCTCCTATCAGCACGCAGCGGTCCACATCCCCACCGACATCTACGAGGGATGTAAGTAAGATGTGAACACCTGTAGGGTGCTGTGCGCTTGCCTGTCATGTGTGTCCCCAGTTTGAAACCCAACATAGGGACAAGTTTGACACTTGCTTTATTTACAAGTGGTTTACATGTCTGAGCGAGGACCAGAGTGTAGCTCAGGGGTACCACATGCAATCTAGTATAGGTGAACCCTAAGTTTGATCCTCAGCATGGAGAGAAGAAAAACACAGCATATTAAACTCTTAGTATATGTAAAAAAATAAATCTGATATTGTGAACTGACTGGATAGAGCTTGAGGCAGGACTTGCTTTTAGCAGTACTCTGCAGATTGTTTAAAATATGTGCACACTCAGAAGACTTGTGTGGAAAGCAGATTGAAGCCACAGTCACTATTGGGGAAACAAAGATGGCCTGAGCCTCCCCATGTACCTCTTTGTTCCCTGGAGGGAGGCAGTACCAGTAATCAAGACATGTTTTTTGTGCGGTTTAAGAGATTGTTTTTTCAGGATCTTTTTTAAACCTCAGGAGGTATAAAGTACTTCCAGGGGAACCTCATCTTTTTGTTTTCCTGTCTTACTGTTTGTAGCTGAAACCACATTCATCATTATATCTTAATGTGTTTTACACTAGAATAGACATAAAATCCAACACAGGAGGGAAATTAAAATATTTTAATGCATTAATTTTTCTATATAGGACACACACTTTTTCAGTATCTTGTGTGAGTTTTGAGTGTGTGTAAATGTTTTCCTTTTTAATGTAGAATAAACCATTTGTCAGCATTTGTAGAGAATAAATTGTAAATAAAAACCATTGCTCTGAAAACCAATATGAAATATTTAAATATATGTTTTTAGATGCTACAGGATACTATTTGAAATATGCATACTTTTAAAATAAGAAAAAGAAGCTCTATTTTCGGGTTATTTACGTAGCCTCATTTTTCTTAACATTGGCATCTGTCTCTGCTGAAATCTCATCAGTGTGATTCTAACCTTGTGTGGCTCGATGCCTTTAAAATTCATCTCCCATGTTATGGTCCGCGGGCATATACGGCAGAAGTCAAATCAGAAACGTCAACAAGATCTGGAGAATTTCATAATTACCAGTGTTCTTCAGGCAGTGCACCGGGACAGATCAGACTGAGAACACCGTTCTAGGTTTCTGAGTTTAATGAATGCGAAACTGTATTTTAATTGAAGGCTTAGCTGAGGAAATCAGCTCTGGAGGACAGATGTGTAGCTATACCCTCAGAAGAAATCTTATGTTCAGATTTCCCAAAGGTGATTACTTCTGAAATCCTTTGAACTGCAATGTGATTATTTTTGCTCAGTGATCTATTTAAGCTTCAAAATAACCTATTTAATTGGAACACCATCTGAAAGTTCCCAGTTTTGAGAATTTCATTAGTACTAGTTTTAATTTTGAGGACACCTGAACCGTACTTCAATTAAAGTTCCCATTTATCTGTTTGTGAATTTAGAAAATAATCCTAGGACTCATTGAAAATGAGGAATGAATATTCGGTGTAGTTTGCTTTTATTCGCAGAATTTTATTAATCACTGCATCTTTTAAGATGTAAGTTTAGGGAGTGTTTTTGCACAACATTCTGCAGTCATTTTCAATAGAAATTGGAGAGTATTGTATGGGTAGTTCCAAAAAAATCCCTCAATAAGGGAAAATAATAAAATTACACCTAGACTTGCCCAGAGTTTTCAGATACCGGATAATTGTGTCTTTCCACTTAACCCTTACTGTGATGTAAGCACACATTGTTCCCATCTTAGAACTAATAAAACTAAACGTATTTTGATCTTCAGCACACATTCATTTTGCTAAGACAGGAGAATTTCAGGAATTGTACTTTTGAAGTACCCTGTACTAAAGTCACTAGCTTTTTGTGAACTTCACATTTGCTAACACATCTGTTATAATGATATGCATTAACTTGGGGTTGAATGACGTAGCTACTGCATTTTAAGGTTGTTATGGTTTAAATTAGGGTAGAAAACGCAGCTTGCCGAGTCTTGGGTGACAAATGTGTACACAGCCCTTCATATTCTTTTATTAAAATCCATTTGTGGTCAGGGGTTTAGCTCAGCGGCACAGCGCCTGCCTGGCAAGCACAAGGCTGTGAGTTTGATCCCTGGTAACTGCCACCCCCCCCAAGAAAATCCATTTATTTTCAGTAATTTCTAGAAAACTTTCAGAGAAATGCTTCCAAGTTTTTAAAACTGTACTGTACCACAGAAGAAATATGAGAAGTCAGTACATTTGTATCACTTATGGTATTAGAAAAATTGTAGCCCCCCCCATAAAAAAGGAAGAGAGAAAGATAACCATAAGCCAACCTTATTACAAATAATGGGAGAAATTCAAAGGAAGACATTTGTAAAACAAGTGGTGAGTTGAAGTAATAGTGCGTGATGTCAAAATAACTGAACTAACATTTGAGTGCTTTAGATCACTAGTAATATTATTAAATTTTATACCAACCGAATCAGATTGAGTATTGGTTAGTCTTACTCTCGTTTTCAAATGAAAATCTATTTCAAATGCCACCACACAACAATACTGTCAGTATATTAAGATGTTACTTTAATAATTTTTAAAAGAAATCCATAGCAAACATCATTCATGTTAGCATTAAACTCTTTTAAGTAAAAAATAATGCAAGGCTGTCAGTCATTCTGTCTACACCATTATGGTAGAGACACAATACAGTGTAGTCAGCCGAGCAGTAGACATAAGTCATAGACACTGGCGTGCAAGGGTTGAAACTACCTGAAGCTTCTACAGGAGCTAAAACGTGTTTGCTTAACTAATATAGTTTAGCAGGTCCACTATGTGTAAGGCTGATACTGAGAAATTGGTCTATTCTCTGCATATTATCAATTGATTTAATGATCAGTTATGAAACATGGAATAGACAGATAGGACTCTTTCACAGCAGCCACAAGAAGGACCAGGAGGTTGTATGTGGAATCTGACTAATGCACATCGAGTGTATTTTTTAACATTTTCCAATAATGCACATTTGTGTTCATTTAATTATTGATTTCTTTATTATAGATTCATTCATTTCTCAAATACTGGTAGTTAATACATTAAATCAGACTTTCTAAAAATAATTTGTGGGGCTGGGGATTTAGCTCAGTGGCATAAGCACCTGCCTTGAAAGCAGGCAGTCGTGAGTTCGATCCCTGGTACCAATAAAAATGAACCCCCCCCCCAAAAAAAAAAGCTAAAAATAATTTGTGTTTCAGAAGATTATTTATACCTATTAATTCTAATTATAGTAATACAAGCAAAACCTGAGCATGCATGTGCACTCCTGTGATTAAAAACAAGAGAAGCGTTGCCTTCTCCAGGGTTCAGCTGTGAGAGACCTGTGGAGCGGGACCCCAAGCCTTGGGAAGGGCCCGCCGGTGCTGACTCTGTTAAGGATTACAGGTTCAGCTCCTCACCGGGCTGTGCCCAAGAGCACTGGTCACTAGAGAAAGCGACCTGTCCAACAGAAAACACTTCCATCTTCAAACTGCCAAATGGCAATATGAGATGCATACAGAAAAAACAGCTTTTCACAGCAACTCAAAATACTAGCCTATTACACATCTATCCCAAATGTAAATTTTATGACAATTAAAAAAGTCCAAGAAAATAAATTTCTACTGGATTCACTATTAATACTGGTCTAGGTTTGGCAGGCTGGTGACTCATTTTTATTGAAAGTACTTGTTCATCTCTCATGACCTGACTGACGCGAGTTATCTCTGCATGTGCCAGGGTGTCCCCCCAAGGGGACGTTTCCACTGCAGCCAGGGCTCGCATGGACAGGCTGGGGAAAGCCAGCACCTCAGCTCACCAGAATGTGTCTCAGCACTCACTTCTAGGCTGGTCTTTATCAGAAATATGAACTTAGGTCAAATTCCATCCTTGCAAATGTTTTTGGCAATGCAGACATCCTAAATGTGTTGTGCTTACTGATGTTGTATTTAATCAGAAGATTAGGAAAATGACAAATTTCACTACAGAGGGTGCATCGCTCTTTTCTATGGATTTTGTGTTAAACAGCTAAAAGCATTAAATATCTTGAAAAAGAAATCTCAGTAAAACCTTATCTAGGTTCTAATCTAACAAAAGAGATCTTCCTTCTCATTCAAATTAAATTAAAAATCCTTGATCCTGAATCATGCAACCTGAAATCTGATTAAGTGCTAGGACAAGGCACCATAGCAGTAGCAATGGATTCGGTAACAAAGTGATCATCTACCATAACAAAGGGATTAATGTAACTAATTAGTGTTGCTGCTCATTAGGAACAGGGCAGAGAAAGAGACACTGAGGTTCAAAGCATAGATTTTTAAGCTAGGGAAGTTTGATCATAATTAATAAGACTAGCACCAAGAGAAACAATTCTGCTTCTGAGATATAGTTGGCATTTTTCTCTCTCCACTGATTGTCTCCTTAACACATGCATATTCAGAGATGTCAGTATTGTATTGTTTCTCTAATAGGAAAACATTGACTACATACACACCCAAGTGACATAAAGTAAGCCGCTGATCACATGGATGCTGGTATTTGAAGCCATTTAGGACCATAAGATAATAGCCCACCTAGTAATAAGAATGATACCAATTTGGCAAATTAATTTTGTTTGTCTCCAAAAATGTGTGTGTTGAATTTGTAACCCTCTTGTAACTGTATTTGGAGACAGGGTGTTTTGGAAGTGATTTCAGTTGAGTGAGGTCAGGAGGGTGGGCCCTTATCTGCTGAGCACTGGTAACCTTATAACCAGGAGGAGCACACACAGGGATGGGTGCACACCAAGAAAAAAACAACCATCAATAAACCAAGAGGGGGCCCCTCACTGGGAATCTCTCTGTCAGTGTTTTGTCTTGTGGTTTCAACCCCAGAACTGTGAGAAATAAATTTCTGGGATTTTTTTTATGAATGCCTGAGCACAGTGGGATTCAAATTGACTAGTATTGAAGAATTGCTAACGGC